TACTGTGTTTGACGAATTGGGGACGTATACCGGTGGTTATATAGCCGCAAATTTAACGTTATATCGGCTCCGCTTACGCGTTGCAGTAATAGTGTAGCATAAATAATTTTCGTAAGATCCAAGTCAAATTTTGCAAACTTGTGAGGAATCATCTTACCTACAGTCACATAATTTCTGTTTAATTTTCCGTTGCTTATTTATTGAATGGCAACAATTTAATCAACATAAATACAGAGTCGTGAACTCCTTTAAAGGTCACATGCAACGTAAAACATAACTTTGCAGATTCTGATACCTTTCGGTATGGACTTACCGAAACAAATCATCAAAAATGCAAATTCAACTTATAAAGTTGAAAAATAAGGCGATGAAGAAAACCGCGCGAAATCGGAGTTCAAACGTCTCCTATTTCCCCCCAGCGCTTGGGGTGGGGGGGGAGTGGTTTCAACAGCTGGGCTGCGCTCATGGCATGGCACACTCGTCCCATTCCGTAATCTACAAATTAACATGTGGCGTGGAATGAGCCGATATGCCTCAAACTGAAAAGTGTTGTTGACGTCAGGCGTCAGACGTAGATTTCACGGTGTATGCATGAATGACGCGCTTTTATATAAATCGGTGATCTTATGACAGAAAAGTGATGTAGGGAACACTGTAAGGATAATGTGGATCGCACTAAGGAACGAGGGAGACATGAGCATGTGTAGTGACGGCACGAGGGTGAGTTAGCCTTCGAATCATTACTTTACAAAATTTATGTTGCGTGTGAAAGAGGCTTCAGTGCAAATTCCAGGCCAATTTCCATTAGCCTAAAATTTCTACATTAACCCATTTCATAATGTACTTTCGACGTTTTTGGTTTCCCGTTTTTGTGTGAAAAAAAAGTATTAAAATGCAAAAAGGAAAAACAACAAATGGTACTCACGTATTACATCGGACATGTACATACTATATTGGATTAGGTCCCTAACCCTAACCCTAAACCCTAACCCTAACCCTAACCCCTTGAAATAATCCTAATAAATAGAATGCATTGACCGAACCACCGGACATGTACCTACTATATTGCATTAGGTCCCCAACCCCAACCCCAACCCTAACCCCAACCCTAACCCTAAACCCTAGCCCTAGCCCTAGCCCTAGCCCTAGCCCTAGCCCTAGCCCTAGCCCTAACCCTAATCCCTTGAATTTATCCTAATAAATTGAATGCATTGACAGAACCGGCACAAACACGACTGACGTGTCTAGTGTAATGCATTATTCCCGCTTCGAAAAATAAAATACTAATAAAACACTTTTCTATGTAATGGTGCAAATTACTGAATGACAAAAATATATATGTAAATTTAAAAAATTACAAAATACAAAATACACAACACATAACACCTCAGCAGCCCGTAACACAAATAAATATGAGCGTATTAGTGAAAAAAGAAAAATATTTCAAACTGGTACTTGCAAAATATTGCGCATCCGCCGGTATGCAACTACTGGAAACTCTCAACATCGTTGGGCTTATGCAATGACATAGCTCCTAGAGATGAAACACCAGTGAGCGGAGCTTAAACGCACTCGCTGAGCCAGACAACCGTGTTGCCATGCAGGCGTCATAGGGCATTGTTTCGAGATCGTGCTTTCGAACAAAATCACATTTCATTACGTAAAAGGGTATTATGACGTATTTTTAAAGTTTGTGGTGCTGTATTCTAAAGGTATTCTAATTTGTAGATTAATTGTCCGTAGAATAAAATCACATGACACTAAGTCTACCCGTACTACTTTTTTCTGGCGATGGCGTAAGTTCAAGGTGTGATATGATTAACCTTTGACCTAGAGGAACCTTGACCTGGTTTAAAACAGTGAATTATTTTTACGAAAAACAGCGTAAAACGAGTTGAATTAGAATGGGGATAACTGTACTGTGTTTGACGAATTGGGGACGTATACCGGTGGTTATATAGCCGCAAATTTAACGTTATATCGGCTCCGCTTACGCGTTGCAGTAATAGTGTAGCATAAATAATTTTCGTAAGATCCAAGTCAAATTTTGCAAACTTGTGAGGAATCATCTTACCTACAGTCACATAATTTCTGTTTAATTTTCCGTTACCTACTATATTGCATTAGGTCCCCAACCCCAACCCCAACCCCAACCCCAACCCTAACCCTAAACCCTAGCCCTAGCCCTAGCCCTAGCCCTAGCCCTAGCCCTAGCCCTAGCCCTAGCCCTAGCCCTAGCCCTAGCCCTAACCCTAATCCCTTGAATTTATCCTAATAAATTGAATGCATTGACAGAACCGGCACAAACACGACTGACGTGTCTAGTGTAATGCATTATTCCCGCTTCGAAAAATAAAATACTAATAAAACACTTTTCTATGCCTTTCTATGTAATGGTGCAAATTACTGAATGACAAAAATATATATGTAAATTTAAAAAATTACAAAATACAAAATACACAACACATAACACCTCAGCAGCCCGTAACACAAATTACCAGTGAGCGGAGCTTAAACGCACTCGCTGAGCCAGACAACCGTGTTGCCATGCAGGCGTCATAGGGCATTGTTTCGAGATCGTGCTTTCGAACAAAATCACATTAGTGAAAAAAGAAAAATATTTCAAACTGGTACTTGCAAAATATTGCGCATCCGCCGGTATACAACTACTGGAAACTCTCAACATCGTTGGGCTTATGCAATGACATAGCTCGTAGAGATGAAACACCAGTGAGCGGAGCTTAAACGCACTCGCTGAGCCAGACAACCGTGTTGCCATGCAGGCGTCATAGGGCATTGTTTCGAGATCGTGCTTTCGAACAAAATCACATTTCATTACGTAAAAGGGTATTATGACGTATTTTTAAAGTTTGTGGTGCTGTATTCTAAAGGTATTCTAATTTGTAGATTAATTGTCCGTAGAATAAAATCACATGACACTAAGTCTACCCGTAGCATTCGTAATTGTCCGTGACCTATTTGCACTGAAGCCTCTTTCACACGCAACATAAATTTTGTAAAGTAATGATTCGAAGGCTAACTCATCCTCGTGCCGTCACTACACATGCTCATGTCTCCCTCGTTCCTTAGTGCGATCCACATTATCCTTACAGTGTTCCCTACATCACTTTTCTGTCATAAAATCACCGATTTATATAAAAGCGCGTCATTCATGCATACACCGTGAAATCTACGTCTGACGCCTGACGTCAACAACCCTTTTCAGTTTGAGGCATATCGGCTCATTCCACGCCACACGTTAATTTGTAGATTACGGAATGGGACGAGTGTGCTAAATGGCATCGGATCCATTCGGCAATTGTCCGTAGAATAAAATCACATGACACCAAGTCTACCCGTAGCATTCGTAATTGTCCGTGACCTATTCGACTCTTTCCGTTCATTTCCGTGACGTCACAGGAATGACTCGATAAATTTGCACATTGTGCAACAGTGTGGACGTAGCTCAGTCGGTTAGCTGTCGAGCTAACAATGAAGGTCGCGGGTTCGCGTCCGACGGGTTCTCACAAACTGGTTGCTTGTCTTAATGACACGTGACCTACGGCAGAGATCGTCCTCACGAGAAGTTGTGGTGCTGTATTCTAAATGTGCTCCGTCATTATTTAGCGTTGATAGAATTTCTAACTGTGATATAGATATGTCGTTGTCACAGACAAAACTCAATGTCTGTTTTATTGACACCTATGTGTCTGCCTGCCTGTCTGCTAATGACAATATTCAATACACAACTTCGATCACTGACCACATGCAATTTGAACTTAACACCTATCAGGCTATACACCTTAAACAAAACGCATTGATTTATGTCCCGATTTCGGTCTCTGTCACATTATGTAATTACACAGACAGGCAGGTGTGATACTTGTGCACATGACATGTTATGATGTCTGTTGATTGCAAAATGTTACACACAAAAAACGAGCATGTATTTACAAAACCCAACATCTCTATACACACACACACACACACACACACACACACACAGCCGTGAGGTCATCGGCAAACCTGAACCAGCCTTTACACTTGAGTGCACACCCACCCGCTCTGACTGGGTTCGGTATCCTGGGTGCTTCGTTTTGAGAGAAGTAAACCCAAGTACAAAATATTGCACTTTTGATTTGCGATTGTACGCTTATAATTTTGTTTATATGTTTTTTCATAATCAGCAATGTATATTATATGTCATGAATAAGTGATAATTGTGTTTTAATTATGTTTGATTTTTTGGTTGCATGTGACCTTTAACATGGCGACCTATGGGATTGTGCATTGTGTAACCATACGTAAGTTGATAAATGTGATATCATAATTAAATATTGGTCGGAGAATTGAACTGAAATTATGTGCGCAGAGCAGAGATGATTTCAAATTTGCCTGTCAAATTTTACATAGATCCATCCCAAACTCACTTCATAAAAATTATTTATGATACACTGAAATAACATGTAAGTCTATGGAAATTACGTCGAAGGTCCGAAAAACTGGCACGGGTCTGTATATGTACAGACCCGTGCAAAAAGTATTCGGACAATGTTCCACAATGCACAATCCCATAGGCCGCCATGTTAAAGGAGTTCACGGCACTGTACATGTGTTGATGAAATTGTTGCCATTCGATAAATATGCAACGGAAAATGAAACAGAAATTATGTGATTGTAGGTAAGATGATTCCTCACAAATGTGCCAAATTTGACTTGGATCTTACAAATCTTAAATCCATAAAAATTATTTATGCTACACTAAATTAATATGTGAGTCTATGGAAATTACGTCAAGTGTCCGAATACTTTTTGCACGGCTCTGTACTTCGCCGGTTTCTGTCCACGTATAACACTTTTGGTATTATTTCCAACAACATTACAGTGAACACTTACTACGGATATTCACCTCTCCTCGAGGTTACATTCTGCCGATCACATATATACCAAGGTAATAATATCCATGTAATAACTTATAACAAATAAGTCAATATTTTTAGTGATTGTTCCTCAGTATTTTTATACCTAACATTACATGCGAACAGTTCAAACAAACCATCTGGCAGCAGTCATTCATAAATACAATATGAGTATGCATCACCTGTTAAGTTCAAAGTCTCTTTTATCATTGCTTCCGCAATATCAGGCGTTTGGATCCTGAGGCGAAGAACATTCTGTAGAAAAAGCCTGCCAGAAGGGATCCAATGAAAGGTCCAACCCAGTATACGTAATGTGACCTGAAGGCATTGAGGCTGGAAGACACACTCAGTAGAACGGCAGGTCCAAAACTCCTTGCTGGGTTCATAGATCCACCTGTAGTGTTGAAAGCTCCCAGGATGCCAACCGAAACAGCAAATCCGATGGCTAGTGGGGCGAACTTGGTCTTCGTAGATTCGTCAACAGTAACTAGAATGACTGTCAGAACTAGCAAGACAGTGATAAGTGTTTCACAGAGAATTCCCCGTCCTGGATCCACTTTGGTCAGAAGATGCGCTCCGCCGTAAATTATTTCGTAGGCACTGTCAAGGAGAACTGCTTTGCAAAAACCTGCACCACATATGCCACCAAGGATCTGGGCGATGACATAACCGAGTGCAAGGATGGGGACATGCCACCGGCTAGAGTCACACCCACAGTAATAGCTGGATTAAAATGGCCTCCACTTATGCTTCCAAATCCCATGATTAGAACAGTTGATGTTAGTCCGTGAGCTAGAGCTACTGCAGCTGCTGAAGGAACTTGAGATTGGACTGTCAGAGCATCCTGTGTCGACAAACACCCGATAAACACAAAGAGACACACTCCAAGAAATTCAGCTAAACATGGCCGGATGACCGACTCAAAATAATGAGAAACGTCGCTTTTCTTCTCAAGGAGAGGGTCACAGTCGTTTGAGTTCGGCGTTTCCATAACTGATGGAAGCTTTGTCGAAGCAAGCAGCAATTCAGACGTTTTGAACGTTGTAGCAGGCGGTGACGTCACATTCCGTCTCAGCGTAAGACATTGGTCTATGACGTCATAATTGTCATTACGTAACGTTTTCGCGACGGGCTTTTATCGAACGTTCTTGATGTGGTCACCCACTCTCCTACCCAGAGTTCCATGCGAGCATAGTACCTCTGCCACAGACGATTCGTCACATCTTGCACCGTCCATTCAATATAATGTACATATTTCTTAACTCTGTCATTTTTTACGAGTCTACACATCTAATTAAACATCTTTGATAAAATGGTTTAGTTTTCCTGAGAAAATATCCTAAAACATGTAACACTATTTCGATTTGCGTAGCGATCCTTTGTTTACATAGGTTGTACGGATCCGCGTGCTGTCATCGAAGCCAACAGAGAGCAAACGATGCATCCAGTTTTATATCTAAATATGTACTGTCATAAATGTTACTGTCGCAGTTGTGGAAGAATATACATGTAACAATGAAAAACATTGTGAAGAGCGCGCCGAAAAGCTTCCGTAAGGCCAGTCTCTTCTTATTATGAATATGCGCGCTTGTTTACAAACAAGAGAAAAGTCCGGTCACGTGATATGCAAATTAGCCTGTGGCAGTGATGTTATGCTAAGTCATCACTGCGCCGGAGTGTGTCTCCAACCCAGAGTTCAATGCGGCGAGCTGGTTGCCGGTTCCCTACGCACGTCCTCAACTTAACACTCCGGCGCAGCGATGACATCACTGCCACAGGCTAATTTGCTTATCAGGTCATAGGCGGATCCAGAAATTTTCAAAAGGGGTGTGTGGGGTGTGTGTGTGTTTCGAACCCCCTGAACCCCTCCTCTGGATCCGCCACAGTAGGTGACCCGATTTTTTGCTTGAAAAACAGGAGAGACTGGTCTATTGCAAGCTTTTCGGTGCGCTCTTCATATTGTTTAGCATAGTGATATAGATAGTCTTCAACAGCTGCAAAGGTGAGGTGTGGAAATACATATATATCGCTAGCCTTGCTTCAATGCTATACTGAATGCTAATCCCATGGATGTACATGTGTAGTAATTCTAGATAAGCGCACAGTACAAAGTTCCAAGGACGCCAGTCTGTTAGAGGCACCATACAACTTCTTTGTTCTATATAGCTGACGTTTCGATATAGATTCAAATATCGTTGTCAAGCACTTGCTTGACAACGACCTTAGAATCTATGTCGAAACGTCGCCTATGCAGAATAAAGAAGTTGTATATTCATAAAAATAGTCCTCATTCTTCATCTACCGAACTTCTAGAATGCCAATCAAAGAAGTTATACTTGTGCAAGTCTGTTGTATCGCGAGCTCTCCGTAAGGCTTCGATGACAGCCCGTGGAGCTGTACAACCAATGTAAACTAGGAATATTTATGCAAATCGAAATAGTATTACACGTTTTAGGACATTTTCTCAGTAAAACAAAAACTCATTCTATCACAGATTTTAAATGAGATGTCTCGACCCGTAAAAAATGAACCAGTTGAAAAACATATTCAGTATACTGAATGGACTGTGTAAAATGTGACGAATCGTCACGTGGCGGCTGTCTGTGCCAGAGGTACTATGCTGGCCGCATGGAACTCTGGGTAGGAGAGTGTCTCCACTTGTACCAGCCCTGTAGAATGCGATATGAGTGAATTCGACCGTAGATTGGTTCCCGGATCCTCCCATTCCTGTCGCGCAAGCAAAGTCTGTCGCAGGAACGAACAGGAACCAGTCTATTGTCAACCCTGTTTTCCCTGCTTCTAAAGCCCGCATGACTAATGTTCTTAAAAGGAAATTATATAAAGCAAATATATATAAAAAGTTATGCTCCATGTCAAAGTCTAGGGAAAGATATATTGTAACCCCTTTAATCGGGACGGTTCCAATGGCATGTACTGTCGGGGTATGACGTGATCGCTCGGAAAGTGGGCTGTTCGGACTAAAAAGGTGTCACTTTTTCCAGATTATTTTCGTTCCATCGCGCCATATTATAAATGACTTATGTTAATACGTCAAGACTGTTTTGAGACCATTCATCTGGTACAGGAATACAAATATGTTTATTTCCTTTAACACTACAGATAATTGGCTTCTGATTCTCACCATCGACCGACATAAACCAGTATTTGTTTCATTGTGTTTATTATTCATTTCTGGTTCCGCTGTATTATTTATATTCCAATCAAGGTTGTACCCACTTAATGACCATCATTGTCCCCAATATCCTGCTGTGACCATCAGATGTACGAGCTTATACGCCGGAAAAACATTCGGGACACAATGTCACGGTTTAGAAACTTCTAGGATTTGATTCCTTTAACCTTTATTCATCTAATATCTTTAACTATTATCCTTCAGGTATTTCATATCATTGTTGAGTCTCAAACTGCATACACACGTGATGCCTAGCCGTTTGTTGTCTTTTCATACATTCTTTATCTTTGTAATGAAAAGTACAATGTCATTGTAACTTCAAGTAATTAAGGATAACATATTCCGCACGACATCAATAGGACTTTTGCTTTGTTCTTAGGTTAAATCACAGAACACAGAAGAACGTACCGTACTCCCAATTTCCTTGGTAACGATTTCCTTTGACACGAGGAAGTGTTTGTCCAGTGAAATTAATTTTGATTGTTTCTATCACGATCTACTCATTGTTTACCACTGACGGTCCTTCAAACCAATGTAGTAGGTTGTACGCACCAGTTGGTCTCACAGAGACAGTTGTGAGGCGGATGATCTCAGGATGGAGAAGTGCATCCTTTTCATGATTCCTTGGATTTTGAAATTAGGTAAGATTTAGAACATTTCTTTCGATATAGGACATACAGGCCAAGAGATAAACCTGTAATTTAAGTGAACATGTATATATTTCGCAAAATAATATGCCATTATTAAGAGTCATCGTATTACAAACGTTCTGATCAAACCTTTGAAAACACAATTGAAATCTCAATTTGAAACGGTGATTTTCAAAATGAGTGTATATTGGGGGTCAAACCTTTGTTTGTTTCATTGGTTATAACTGGTGAAAGCCACACTTAAGAGAAACAGAGTTGAAAATGGTGTGGCTCAATCGGCAATGGGCATGGTTGAGTGATCGTGTGAATGTGGCTCTCCCGGCAATGCGCCATTAGCTAATCCATGTTACCGTAAATAATGTGAATCATTCATTATCTAACATCTAGAAATCCAGTTGAATTGTTCGCGGAGAAAAGTCCAGGTCACGCAAACTAGCTGCCCCACGTAGGTACCCAAAAACCTTTTACGAATTATTTATGATTATGAAACCAATTATTTCTTTGAAGCAGTTTAACTTAATATGGGTGGGTCAATTCAATGTTTTATCTTTTTCTGATAACTTTTTGAGATAAGAGCTATTGTTGCCTCAGTTATTATGTTTACATTCATGCCAAAAACTCAACAACAAAATAATAATTTAGAAGAATGACCATTTATTGCGCAATTATACTTTAAAAAACATCAACATATTAGAAGCCTAACTCCTTCCATTTCGTAGCTGTTTTTAAGCAAAATTTATCTCTAGATTTTCCAAAATCAGTATTTTTGCCACCGTTGCGGTAATGACATTTATTAAGAGATGACATATATTTTTTAAGAGCAAAAGCTGAAATTGCCCTTTTCCATAGAATGACCTATTAGCATGTATCATTATATCTCAGAACATATGTTATCATATGTTAGCTAAAAACTTCAAAGAGAATAAAGAAGCCGCCCATCATATGATAACTAAACATACAAAAGACATGTCACTAAAACAATTTTAATCCATTGTGATCAATGGGTGACGCTTATTTGAAAAACCCGGTATTGATTCCCTTACTCATTGTGGTTTTCGCGGCACCGAGGTTTGTACTTGAGATGTGGCTTTAGCGGCACTTGGTATTTTTCAAATGTGTCTTTCACGGGCGGACACCGTTTCATTGCTGTTTAACCTCCCTGGATGGACATATATGTCCCTCCCCTTCAACAGTCATTTTCAAGTGGATTATAATCCAACATGCTAAACAAATTCACTTGTCAGTTTTGAATTCTGCGGGACATATCCTGTTTATTTTCTATACCAGCCACAATCAACATTCACTTTTCAGTACTTCCATCAGTAAAAACCTCAGCATAAAGGGGGTTAAAAATATTCGAGTGACTGGGAGAGTCTAAGTTTATTGATTAAGGGGTCGGCTTGTACTGGAAACTATTGTTTTCTTCAATAGTTAAAGGGTTTGCAATGAACTATCATCTTTTTGTTTATAAGTTAATTATAAAACTGTGTGTAAAGGTATTACTACAACTTGAAATTGATCTTAAGTATCTCTTTACATATATAAATACATGTCAAATGTGGAGCATTTCACACTTTCGAAATTCCAACTCAAGACATAGAAGAAATCAATAGAAAAAACAAACCCCAAAATTTCTACAGCTAAATTTGCTGACATTTCATTCTGGACCTCCTCCACGATTGTAAAACAAATCCCCAGTAAAACCCAAACAATGCTAAATCATATCCAAAAATGGGGTTTCCATATTAACGTAAAAAACCCTTGGCCATTCTATTAAAACACAGCAAATGCAAAATTATACCCCCAAACTGCACCTAAATAACCAAGAAATTGAATTAAAAAAGGAAGCTAAATTATTTTGAGTAACTTTCGACCACCACATGACATGGACACCCCACATTCATAATTTGGTCAACTCATGCCAAAAGGATTTAAACTTACAGAGACCATCGGATTAATGGGCTACATTGAATGTGTTGGACACTTGCTCGGAGTATGGTGATCGTGTGTAACATTCCTACAAACTGTAAATGTGTCAATGAAATAATGTTTCATTTTATTGAATGCAGATATAGATATAATATCCTTGTATATATTTCTCCGTAAAAATAAAGAGAGTCAAACCATCCAACATCCCTTGCGTCTTTTTTTGGGTATGATCCAATGTTTTGATAACTAATTAATAACTAAGACCACAGTGCTCATCCGTCGAAAGCATTTT